ACTCAATCTGCAATCATTTTTTCTTCCTAAACAAATTTAAAGCCTCAAATGCAAAATTTTAAAATATTTAATGGATTAAGAGCATCTATTATCTTTTGATGCATAAAAAGGTATGTGCTTTGTTTCTCAATTTTTAATCTCTTGTGAAACAGGTAATAACAATAAACAATGAGTTATGAGGATACATCCAAGAGTTTTTCTTTATGCTTATAAGTCTTTCTTGTTATTCTCCTTAACAATGACCTCAGTTCACAAGGCTGTTTTTGGCTTGTATTTTTGTAAATCCTTATATAAAGGAGAGCATAACATATCAATGAAAGTTTATCTTTTGATGGGCTCTAATCCTTCATAAAACTGTCTATTAGTCATGAAAATGTACAATTCATGTAGGACTTATGTATGCACAAAAAATAACGTATAAGTAATTATTTTTTCTTTTTTTCTCTGTTACTTAAACTATTTTATGATAAAAAACTGTAAGGACACTGTTTCATTTCTGAATTGTAATTAAAGGCAAGATCTGGATTATTAATATGCACTCTTTAGAAAGAAGTATTGTGATTTTTAAAGCCCTGGGTATCAAATGGGATTTTAAATGAAATCATTCCAACACAGAAGATTAAGCTGAAATTTAACCTGATGGCCGTAAAAATTTTGTGCTGTTTTCTAACATGGCAGAAATTCCCCTTTTCTTTTTATTGTGCAGTGGTGGGGCTTGCCATATGCCCGATGTCACGTCAGATGGAGAGGCACAGAGCTGAAAGGGCACCACTGTGTCAGCTAATGGGGCCCCATGCCACAACCTCTACAGTGGCTGCAGATCATGCATGGAAACTCTGTCAGACCTGCAGCACTATACGGTAAAATTGGAGCTGAATATTGGTAGTGATATGCTGACACTAGTAAAAGCCAACCACCAAATTGTTCCTATTGACAAGATTAATTAGACAACTAAATTACTACTTTTATCTTAGCAGTGCAATCAAGAACTGAAAGAGTGCAGGGAAGACACAAATGGAAGAAAAGCTGTATAAAGAGAGAAACCAGCCCACCTCATTTTGGGATATTTTGTGCAACCTGTATTCTTTTTGCAGTATTATTGTGTGCTTTAATCTTTTCAGGTCTTTACATGTAAGTGTTTTCATGGGCAGATGGAGGATGATAAACCCAGTGCCCATTTATTGAATTGCCTTTTCTCATCTGAAATGTAGTCTTTAAAAAAAAAAACAAAAAACAAACAAAAAACCACAAAACCCCCTACCTTCTTACTCTACAGCATACTCATTATCAGATCAACTCACACTACTAATTAAGTTAAATTCGACTGCTAAATAACTCCCAAAGAGCCAATTTACTTAAGGTAATATAAGCACATATTCATTTCTCCCTATACATCACCAACCGTTATTAATTAAATTCTAGTCACTTCAGATTGCAAGTTTGAAATAATTGCCACAATGGAGACACTTTTACACTGTACTTAACAGTGAGTTGCATTGTTACTGATATTGATAGTAATCTGAATACAGGTAGACACCACTGCAATTATTTCATTTTAGAGTTTGTTATGTGTTTTTTTATTCAGAGGAATGTGTAATTTGTTTCTTGAATGTAAAAAGCTTTGCCATAAATACACCTGAAGTGCAGAACTGATTTTGGTGGATTATTCTCTAAAGAAAATGTCTCCTCTCTGAAGGTGTAATACACCTTTTCAGGTTCAGAGGAGATCACAGTGGCAGCAAGTGATTTTTCCCTCTGCAAGAGCTCCTCTCAGCCGGCTGCTGTACTAAGGTGAGGGCTGAAGTGATGCTCGCAATCTGCTTCCTTGCTACCCACCTTCCACCCACATCTATGAAGCATCTGTGGGCTGATGCTTTGACAACGGGGAGGTTTCTGCTGTGCAAAGACTATCAGTACCAACAGGTATTAGGAGGAAAAGGTGTATTTTGCACTCCTTTCAGCTTCTGTACAAGTACATTGCATTTAATTAGTCATTGCAGCAGAAGGTGATTACAGATGATGAATAACATTCTTGCATGTAAAAGTTTTGCAAGAAGAAGGAGACAAAATTTTCCTCTAGATGCATTTCTTAGCCCACTGTTAAAACTGAACTAGTGTATCCTGAAATGAGCTACACTTTCTCAAGTTTCAGTCATCATAATACACATAAGAAAAATGACAATCTTACGGTCTGAAATATTCATTAGTTCCATGTTTCAGTGGAAGTGTGAATAAAATCTGCATACTTCTGAAAAGTAAAGTTCTTGCATTTTTAGTAATACACTTCCAATATGTTTCCTCCTGCAAAGCCAATTAAGCTTTTAATTGATATACCAAGTTTTGATTTCCTTTATTGCAAAGGTCATTTGTAAAACACAGTAGATTGCAGAGAAGGAACGATGTTCTATACATTTGTCTCACTTAATGCATATCATAACACCTTTACTATATTTTTGCCAAAGGAAAGACCCATCAAAGACATAAGAACAGGTACTCCAACATGTCTACACATAAACTTTTTTTTTTTGCATTCTTATTGTGTTTATGAAAAGCTACCAGTGGTAAGATTAATATTTTTAAGATGATCTACAAGCATAACTTTATTATAAAACAACCTCTGGAAGGTAATGTTCTTTTTTCCCATAATAACTCCCAAAGAGCCAATTTACTTAAGGTAATATAAGCACATATTCATTTCTCCCTATACATCACCAACCGTTATTAATTAAATTCTAGTCACTTCAGATTGCAAGTTTGAAATAATTGCCACAATGGAGACACTTTTACACTGTACTTAACAGTGAGTTGCATTGTTACTGATATTGATAGTAATCTGAATACAGGTAGACACCACTGCAATTATTTCATTTTAGAGTTTGTTATGTGTTTTTTTATTCAGAGGAATGTGTAATTTGTTTCTTGAATGTAAAAAGCTTTGCCATAAATACACCTGAAGTGCAGAACTGATTTTGGTGGATTATTCTCTAAAGAAAATGTCTCCTCTCTGAAGGTGTAATACACCTTTTCAGGTTCAGAGGAGATCACAGTGGCAGCAAGTGATTTTTCCCTCTGCAAGAGCTCCTCTCAGCCGGCTGCTGTACTAAGGTGAGGGCTGAAGTGATGCTCGCAATCTGCTTCCTTGCTACCCACCTTCCACCCACATCTATGAAGCATCTGTGGGCTGATGCTTTGACAACGGGGAGGTTTCTGCTGTGCAAAGACTATCAGTACCAACAGGTATTAGGAGGAAAAGGTGTATTTTGCACTCCTTTCAGCTTCTGTACAAGTACATTGCATTTAATTAGTCATTGCAGCAGAAGGTGATTACAGATGATGAATAACATTCTTGCATGTAAAAGTTTTGCAAGAAGAAGGAGACAAAATTTTCCTCTAGATGCATTTCTTAGCCCACTGTTAAAACTGAACTAGTGTATCCTGAAATGAGCTACACTTTCTCAAGTTTCAGTCATCATAATACACATAAGAAAAATGACAATCTTACGGTCTGAAATATTCATTAGTTCCATGTTTCAGTGGAAGTGTGAATAAAATCTGCATACTTCTGAAAAGTAAAGTTCTTGCATTTTTAGTAATACACTTCCAATATGTTTCCTCCTGCAAAGCCAATTAAGCTTTTAATTGATATACCAAGTTTTGATTTCCTTTATTGCAAAGGTCATTTGTAAAACACAGTAGATTGCAGAGAAGGAACGATGTTCTATACATTTGTCTCACTTAATGCATATCATAACACCTTTACTATATTTTTGCCAAAGGAAAGACCCATCAAAGACATAAGAACAGGTACTCCAACATGTCTACACATAAACTTTTTTTTTTTGCATTCTTATTGTGTTTATGAAAAGCTACCAGTGGTAAGATTAATATTTTTAAGATGATCTACAAGCATAACTTTATTATAAAACAACCTCTGGAAGGTAATGTTCTTTTTTCCCATTACTGTTATTTAACTTTAAGATTATAACCATGATTAGAAGTTTACTTTGTCTTTGTTGGATGGGGGATGATGGGAAACAAACCCTGTACCCTTTAATGAGTGACCCACTGAATTAACAGCTCAGCTGCTGATTTTAATTTATGTGATAATTTACAGAATAAAATACTTCATGTCTTTCATCTATATAATGCATTTCACTTATTTTCATGAAAACAGGTAACATATTCTTGCATTGAGTACTCTTGTTTGTGAGCAGTTCCTAACCTCCTATCTAAATGTAAATTGCTTATGAAAACAGATTATTAAGAGAGAAGTGAAATGAAGTCCTTAAGCCCTTTCCTAGTAATACAAAGGACTATGTTTATGATAGGTTGTTATTTTTTAAAAGTGAAAACAATACTATTAACTAAGGTCTAAATTTTAAATGTAACAATAATTTCAGTTTCTTAAAGATACAAATCAATTTCATTATCATCATCAAATTATGTTAATTATAGCATTTAAAGTCTTAAGCAAATAGCTTAGAATCTAAACATATTAAAGAGGACTGGAGACAAAACACAATGATATGTATATACACAAGTCCTGTTAGTCCAAACAACCGTTTATGTGTATGATTCGCCAAGTAAATTCACCAAGAATAGCTCTTATTCCTAGAATTATTTTGTTTTAATCTTGCAACTCATACAGCCACTTTATGTCGATTTAATTGGGCACCCTGAGGTTGCCTAAATACATACACAGTCTTATTGGAAGAAAATACTAAAACAACCTCACATTCATTAGCCACTGAGAAGCTACATGGAGCCAAAATGTCTCTCCAGCTTTATGTGGTGATTTTGGGAATAATTTTCACCATTAGTTTACAAAAAGACTAAAAGAAACCTGTTTTATGGAAATTTGGGAATCCTGCTGAGGTTCCTGACAATTGATAAAATGAAATGGAGAGAAAACAGCCAGTGCAGATAAAAAGCAATTTGCATGAATTCTGGTCAAATGGAAAGAAGCTAATGGACATGACATTTACTTATAAGGAACTTGCCTTGTAAACTGTAGATTTCTCCAACGCTGTTCTGCCGGGTGATATGATGCCAATATGCACTACGGGGAAGTGAGATCGACTTGGATAATGTCATTGGTTCAGACAGACTGGTCTGGAGCTAAAAACCAAAGCAAACATAAATGGAAAATCACTCATAACCATACTTGATAGATAATCTCAAAACTGTAAATTGAACCAATGTTGTTACGAAGATAGTATTTTCTGAATTACCACAGATTTTATACCATCATTGAAACTGTGTTATAAACATCAGCACTGTGAATGCACTGGAAAAATCTGCAAAAGTGTATTTGGGTATAAAGGTTCATTAGCACAGGTTAATATTGAAACACAGGAATGCGTCCCTGTTTATCTACAGCTATTTTTATTGCTACCAAGATTTTGTTATTGTCTGTTTTAACTTTAAGATAATGAAGAATTAACATATAACTGAAATCTTAAAACCCTCTACAACCACATTTCTTTTTGGTCATTTAACCTGCATATTGCATTGAATATCCAGAAGATGCTAAGAGAGAGTCTGAGACAAGCAGTAAAGAATTAGCAATGAGGAGCCATTAATACCTTAATCCTTCATTCAAGTGGAGGCATCTCATCATCATCAGCAGGTTACAGCCTCAAGGAAAAATTTTCCCAATCTGGAGGACTTCATGTAACCGAAACTGTCAATTATATGATAAGTGTCCACGTGTACAAAAGCTACGGCACAGAAACTTGACAGGAGGAATGTAAACTTTAATAAAAAGAGCTCTGTCTCCAGTGCATGATGTGAATGAAAGACAAGACTAGGCTACTGAAAAAAAAAAAAAAAAAAAAAAAAAAAAAAAAAAGACCAAAGCTCTAATTATTCTTTAAATCTAAGGGACCAACACAAGCATCAGGAAAATATAAAAAAAAAAAAAAAAAAAAGATGAAGGACTGCATATCCTGACAATTTCTTTGGATGTACCTGTATGACCTATGCTTTGTCTGTCTGGAAGAAAGGAGAACATATCTGCAAAATTTTTGTACTCCTGGCTTAACAGAATATAAAACATGATCAATAATTTGCAGGATCTACAATATCCACAATCTACAATTGCAGGAATAACAAATCATGGTGACGCTGCGGCGCGTGTAATTTCTTCAGGGGATGTCTGGAAGGATTAACACTGAAGAATCAACTATGTCTGCAGATTTAGAGTAGAAACCCCCTTAACATCCTGGTGCCATTCCTGAAATTGTGTGATACTCGGAAAGGGTATGCCTAGAAACCCACATTTTCAGAGTCCAGCTACAGAGCAGAAGGTATTCAAAGTTTGGATAATTTACTGCAGGCTAATGGTTACCTTCTAGGGTGTTCTCATTCAGAATCATAATGCCAAATAATAATAAAAAAAATTATCTGTACGAAGTCATGCTATTCTGTAATAAAAAAGCCCTCTTTTATAAACAGTATCCACCCAGAGATCCACAATTTTTTAGAGTATTAACGCACACTGATGTGTTGCAGATATTTTGTGTCAGATCAATCTATTGTAATTACTTCTGTTGTTTTCTTGAGAATTGTCATCTAAATTACTCCTTGTCTACAGCTAATGTCTTTTCTGCGCATTTATAGCCAAATATTACATTTCATTTGTCAGCAGTGCAGATCATCACTGGAAACTATTTGGTACAAAGTAAAGAACTTTCAGAAACAATTCCTCCTTTAAAAAAAGTTCAAAAGCCGTATCACGGGAATTTTATTTTTAGGAACACTGGAGAATTTAAAGTTAATTGATACAGAAAATTTCCTTTATTGTGGAGATCAGGGCAATACCAAACAATCTGTTATTTTACCATGTTAGTATAGCAAGGGTAGCAAGGGTAAATTTATTAAAAATCATGTAACTTCAATACACAGATGATTTTTGTATAATTTATTCACTGAAAAGGTAAATTCTAGTTTTTAGGTAATAGGCAATATTTTTATTAGTATGCATTCTTCAGAATAATAATTCCAGTAAAGCAAACAAACAAAAAATAATTCCAGTAAGAGACTATGGTTCATTATCTCAAAGCTAAATCCATGGACTGAATTGCAGTAGTTAAAGTTATATCATTATTCCTGGTCTGAGATGACTAACTCCTGCCTGATCTGACCAACACCAATGCAGAAGAACTTTATAAGCACTCATTGAAGCTTTGAAAGAATCAATAAAATAAAATAAAATAAAATAAGATAAGAACTGCTCTAGCGCAGAAGATCACATTGAGAGCTTTCACAGTCCTTTGTTTCCTCAGATTCTCTAATTAAAGAACAACTTCTGATATCACCTTTTGGGCAAGAAGTATTGCCATATGCTAACTACAACAGGACCAGATAAACTACATTTCTTTAGGGACTCCATAGAGCGAAAATGAAATTTCTATTTTATGAAAATACCATCCTAGGGGAAAAAAAAAAAAAGCTTAAGAATATATTATCAATTTTTTTTTTAATTAGAAACATATACATATTTAAAGATTTTATCACCTTGTGTAGCATATAAAGGATGATAATTTAATAGTACATTAATTTGTGCAAGAAGTTATTTTTACTTACTGCTAGATCACTATCAGCTACAATTTTACTTTAAATCTTTTTTATCAATATAAAAAACACATTATTGGCTGATCTGAGAATGAATTGGAGGTAATTCTGCCCCTCTATTCTGCTCTGATGAGACACCACCTGGAGGACTACATCCAGCTCTGGAGTCTTCAGCACAGGAAAGACATGGATCTGTTGGAGCAGGTCCAGAAGAGGGCCACAAAAATAATCAGAGGATTGAAACACCTCTCCTGTGAGGACAGGATGAGAGAGTTGGGGTTGTTCAGCGTGGAGAAGATGGGGACAGACTTTTTAGTAGGGCCTGATGCTATAGAACAAGGGGTAATGGTTTTAAATTGAACAAGGCTAGATTCAGACTAGATAAAAGGAAGAAATTGTTTTACTATGAGGTTGGTGAAACACTGGAACAGGTTGTGCAGAGAAGTTGTAGATGCCCCGTCCCTGGAAACATTTAAGATCAAGTTCTGAGCAACTTGGTCTAGTTGAAGATGTACTTGCCCATGGCAGGGGATTAGACTAGATGATCTTAAAGGCCCCTTCTAACTCAAATCAATCTATGACTTCACTGGAGGTTTTGTGCAATCTTGCATATATGAACTGACCTTAAACTTTGGTATCTAGGAGTAGAAATATAGAGGGAAGTAAAAGCAGTATATAAAATTAAACACATACAATATATTAATATAGCATGAAATGAAATATCCGTTTAGAATGATGTTGCTACAAATATTTGATGAGACTTCAGGAAATGCAAAACATAATCCAGACTTTTTTGCCCAATTTCAGAGGGACAAAATGATGATGTAATTAGAACTTGAGTGAAAATAAAGTAGAAATGTATGAATCAAAACATCAATTCACAGATTTTTTTAAGTGGGAATATAAACAAAATTTCACCATTGAAGTGTTTTTGTTATCTGACATGAAATACCTAGTAGTTAGGTTTCCTCCAGTTTCCTTCAGAATCTTTCTTTAATAAGATACCTTTTACATGGTGGGCATTACCTTTCTTTCTTGTACCCAAATCCGATGTCCAAATCCAAAATATCCAAAATATTAACTCATATGAAGCCATTGCATTGCCAGAAACAACTTTGTAATTTTTAAAGGGCTATTTGATTAAAATAGAAATGAAAAAGAAATCTATAAATGTGTCACTGTAAGAAGTTCCCCATATTTTTCATTATTGTTCTTTCATAAGACAAGGGTTCAGTCAACCCTTAAGGGATAATACCTTAAGGGTTAAATTTTCTTTTAATTCCCATAGGCTATCTCCATTGACTTAAATAGATTTGTTATTCTGATATAAATAATGAATACCACTCCAAGAATGGAGCCTGTTAAATGTAATAGGGTTCTGAGCTTTGATCTGTTTAGCATATTATTCTATCATTTTCTTTTTGCATTAAAAAAGTCAAAACACTGATGGTGACAGAAAATACTTTTGGTTTGGGGAGAAGAACTGAACAATGTACAGTTAATTCCATTTTTAGCCTGCAATAAAGACAGTTTGTTTTTTGCAGATATGCTCTGGAAATAGGTTAGTTTATTACAGATAAAAAACTCCGGCTCATTTCACATCCTCATTAGAGTCTTTAAATAAACAGCAAGAGAACTAGGTCACAGAAGACTAACGAGAATTGTAGTCTGGAAATATGAATTAAATATCACTAGATTTTCTTTTCTTTATAACTCTAAAGAAGTTTGCTTTGTGTATTATGACTTGAAGAGGAAGTGGGGTTAAGAAATGTATCCCACTTCTCAAGTGTGCATTATCTGACAGTGGAATAGCACAGACTCACTGGTATCTATAGTGAATTAGAGTTTAAGAATCACACAATCTAGAAGTTAGCATCAGCTGAGGTACCAGCTCAGTTTTCAGGTGAGTTAGAGAACAACCAGGAGGGAAGAAGTATTTTTTTCTTTTAAAATGAGTTTCAAGGAAAAGTGTCATGTTTGCCTTTTTTGCAGAAGCAGATACTGTTGTCACATGATCACCTTGTGTACTATGGCATAGACCTGTTCTATAAAAACTGTTCCCAAGCAGTAGTGGGCAGTACATGATTCCTTCTTAAGCACTGTGATTGGCACGTTTCTGTTGAATTTTATTCTGCTGTTCCAAACATTTTTTCTAACTTGTAAGTTTGAATTCTGTCTCTTCGTTGACCCACTTCCATATTGTCTTGCACCTGTAAGACCCAGAAGTCTAATAATTAGATTGTCCCTTGATCCAGAACTTCTATGAAAGTAATAAAGCCAGATGCAGGATATATTCCTATGAAAGTCCAATGAAAACATTCTTCCCTTGGTGATGTTTATAATTTCCCCATAATCCTTTGTTCATGATCACTTAGCTTGCTTAGAAAATTGTCATGTGTTATTTGGACTGTTAATATAAACACTTATAGGTATCAGCATACAATTTATTTGCTATGCGTTGCTTGATGTTTATTTTTATATTTTTACCCAGCTTGCTGTTCCTGACAAAATACACAAGACTGGCAAACCCCCCCACATATGAC